AAAAAATCGATTTTGGTTATTGGTGTAACTCTAAAACAAATGAACGTATATACATGAAATTTTCACTGGTTGTTTATATTTGCATTTTCTATACACGATAACATTTTCAAAATATTTTGATTTATTTTGAACTGTTTAGGGACATTTTCATTTTCCATTTTTTTTTAGTTTTTTTTCTAAAAATATCAATAAAATTTTATTTGTTGGTTGCAAAAGCTTTAAAATTTAAGAGAAGGCTCCTAATATATTGTTTCAAAGGCAGATGAAAAATATTAAAAATCCTTAGTCACAATTTTTTTTATAAGCATTTAAAGTTCAAAAATTGACAAAATATGGAAAAATCACGAAAATTAGCAAATTATTTTGAGTTAAGAATTCGTAAAAATTTTTATTTTTAAATCTAAGATTTGAAAATGAAACACAAGATTCCTTATAAGATTATCTACCTTTATCAATAAAAAAATCTCTACCGGACAGTCAAATTAAATTTTTATGAGCGTTTGAAATTCAAATTTTTACAACATTGGATTTTCACTCGATTACTCATGTAGCGATTTCCTTATTTTGTTGCAATTCAAAAACGAACAACTGTAGATACATGAAAATTTCACTGAATGTTTAAATTAGCATTTTGTATACACCATACAATTTTGAAAATATTTTGACTCTTTTTGAGCTGTTTATGGACATTTACAGCTTTCAATTTTTTTTAGTTTTTTTTTCTATAAATATCAATAAAGTTTTATCTGTTGGGCCAAAAAGTGTAAAAATTTAATACAAGGCTCCTGATATATTGTTACAATAGCAGTTGAAAAATATTAAAAATACATAGGCACAGTTTTTTTTATAAACATTTAAAGATCAAATTTTGACAAAATTTATCAAAATCTCGAAAATTATCAATCATTGTAATTAATAAATTATAAAATGTTCAGTTTTTATAGATAAGGATTACAAATTCAACACAAAGGTTCTCATAAATAGTTCATACTATAACCAAAAAATCTAAAAAATATATGAACACACTTATTTTTTACAGACATTTTAAATTCAAATTTGGACGAAATTACATATTAAAAAACCTAGAATAACTATTTTAGTTATTTTGTTGTGATTGAATAATATTATTCGTGGGTACTTGAAACTTCTAAAGTGTACTATTATATATCTATGATAGTATCACGGTTTTTGTTGATGTATAACGCGTTATAAGTATTTAATGGATATTGTGATATGATTAATTTGGAATTTATTATAGGTACCTATTATAGGTCAATTTTTTGTTTAATACCATAGATATGTATATAATAATATGTCTTATACCTAGACTGACATACCGTCACCGCTCAGAATCGTTTTTCTTATACAATGATATTATATCATTGAATTCAAATTTAATACCATCCATTATACAGTGACCCACTTGTAACCTACTGTACAGCAGAGCGACACCCACTTGCCCACCTTTTTTTTTTTTGGAAACCTATGATTTGCAACCAGTTATAAGATTAATGATGCAAAAATTAATTCACGGAAATCATAAGTTGTTATCGCATAGCCTTACGAAGTTCACGATTTTCGGTGTTTTATACGCACCCGTACAACGCTTAAAGTTTACCGAGCTTAAGTAGGTATAACAAATAACAATTTTTTTAACCTAGTTAAATCAACGTCTTCAGAATGATGGTGCAAAAATAATTCATAACAAGTTACACTTAAGTAAACGGGGGCTGTGAAGAAAATTAACCGATAGTCTTATACAGTTCATTAGTACATAATATAGTCAGAGTTGTCTATCATAAAGTACTATTAATTTTATGTGTATATTAAATATGCATTTATTATATTGGTATGATTGGTAGTAATTTGTTTTGAATTTAGCAATAAAACTTCAGTAATATTTATACGAGATAAATATTTCAATTTTAATGACATTGAACATAAACAATAACATGAATAACATAATATAATGATTTATTTCCATATTTAATTATTCAAATAATGAATTGTATATGTAACTATGTAAGATTGTTTATTTAAGTTCAATAAGTCGACATGTATGGCGTAGAGCCTAGGAGAATAATAATGAATAATAAATTAACAATCTTATACAGAGTGTCCCGTGAGGATTTACTCATTGAGATATCTCCTGAAATAATAGAGATATCGTAATTCTGTTTTCTTATTAAGACTCACAGAGGTAAGCACTACAAATAACTAATTTTTTATTTTTTTTTTATGTTTTGGTAAAAAAGTTAAAAAAATTATTTTTTTAATTAATGATTTAAAAAAATATTGAAGATTGCCATTTTGTAGAGTTCATTTTTCTGAAAATATTGACGTTTTAACATTTTAATTTCATTAATTTCCTGATTTTTAATAATTTTTTTAATTAATAAGTAAAACGGCAAAAAACCGGTTTTTGTCCGGGCGGAGAGTCCCCCTCTACGGCTAATAGGTAAATCCTTACGGGACACTCTGTATAATGCTTACCTGAAACTACCTAAACACATAAATAATACATAAGTATATAGTTTAATATGTTATTACTTTTTGTCTTACCAGTTACTATGTTAAGAGTTTAACACTCATAAATCATAATCGACATAATATCTAAATACCACATAACCACTGCCTAATAAATATACTAAGTAAAGTAGTACACAATTTGATTGGAAATTTATGTCATTATATTATATTCAGTTGCAAGGCCATATCCAGAAATTTTTTTCGGAGGTGGGTCCAAAACATGTATATTGTAATTTTATTGAATTTATATGTTTTGATATTTGGTTAAAAATAAGATATGTTGAAAACATTTCGGCCTTGGGGGGGGGGGGGGGTAACTGCCCCCCCTGCCCCCAGGTACGGCAATGGTCAGTTGTGAAATTGTATTTGTATATATTATAATTATATGATGTTAAAAATTTAAATATTTTTAAATTCAGCGGCCCGCGATGATGTTAATTGTTGTTTATTCCAAGCCAAACTGATATGATATTTTCATCTATGAAAGTGATATAAACATTAAACCGTTTTTATTTACTGTCAAGTGTGAAATTTCAAAATAGTGAAATGAGACGTCAAATGGTCACAGTCCACACTCCACAGATATCAAGAATAGAAAATATAATAGAAAATAAAAACCTTGGCATACAACACCTGTTTCTTATCATTTCTATGTGTTATTATCTTATCAGTTTTCAACCTTTGAGGCTTTGAACTTTTTATTTTTAATTCAAGTGTTAATCAAATCACTTTTGTAGTGTTGCTGTTCAGTGTTCAGTATCTGTTAATATACATTAACACATACCTTTACAAACTAATACATTTATTGCAATTATTAGAAATTATGTTTCCTTTATGTTTATTACAGTTAGATGTATTAGTTAAACAATTGTGAGTTATTAATTAACTCTTCTTTAACATGATAGTACATTTTGAATTTCATGTAAATTGATATTTGTACAATTAATGAATTAATCATAATATAAAGACCTAGTGACCAGCTAAGCTCTCAAAACTAAAGCTCTTTGTTGTTAATAATTGCGATCAGTTTGTGAGTATGTACCATATTTTGTTTGTTTTGTTATTGTTAATTTAATTTTCAAATTGTTTTCTTATGTGAGGTTTATTATTAGATTAATTCATGTATATCATTACCTTTTAATAATGAAGTTAGTATAATTATAATTTATAAGTACTCAGATTTATTAACTATTGTTTTTAAACGATTCTTACATGGGCAAATAAATATGTGCACATTTTTAAGTAGGTTTTATGATGACTGTTGTAATATTACAAAACATATTTACACAATAGTCAAATTACTGTTATTAAATACTAATATAAATTTACTAATATTGGTACCTATTAACTATATTTAAAACTTAAAAGTGTATAATAATATAATATTATGTTTCATGCTTTATAGTTTTTTTGGTTACTATTATTTTAAATTTCAGCAAATACATGTACACTTATTAGGTATCAGACTTAGATCCTTAAATAGTTTCTTCTAAACATTAGATAAATAATTAAATAATATCAGATTTAATACACTTGGTCTGATTAATTTAAATCTAATATGAAATGTTGTCTCAAGCACATAGTCACAGATGATTGATGAATGACCGTTTGTCCAAACAATAGTAAACATTGTATTAATATAAATAATTATTTCTTGTTAGTACCTAGTTATAGATACATCAGAACATGTAATATATTTATACATATCGGTAGGTTCATAATTTAAATTATTATAATTAAAAATAACTGTGTGATTTTGTTACATTGTTTAGTCAATCTTATAAAAAACAAACATTTTATTGCTTTCATCACAAAAAACAATTATACTAAATTCAAAGTCTTTCCAAGTTTCAACAGATTTATCATACTAGTATATATTTACTAGTAAGTATCAAATTATATATCCCTTTAGATATAATATCTATTTCTAAGATAATTGCAATATTTATTTATTATTTGTACTTTTGTAATCAATGACACCTATAGCTATTATAATCATAATAAAATATTTTATATTTTATTATTATTTTTTTTTTATCACGAAACATGATTTATTTTTTTACCACATATTTTAGAAAAAAATAAATTTTATCCTAGTAACATCAGTTAAAATACAGCTCATCTATGCTCTGGGATTCATACACTTTAGGGCACCAATTATACAAAATATCCGGGGATGTCCAGGCACTGCCAGCACCCCCTGTACATAACTTTAGTACATAACTTACACCATAATACATTAATTGCTTACAAAATATATAAATGAAATAGAATGGTATTTAATCATTAAATTGTAACTAGAATGTAAAAAAAAAAATGTTGTTTATAGTTTATATTATTATATACATTGTCAGTATTATGCCATCAGTAATATTTTAACAATTTTTATTTAAAATAATGGTTTTTTTTAAATTTTGAAGTATCGAATAATTTATGAATATAAATATTTTTGAATATTTTTATTTTCAGTGATGGAAGCCGTTAATAAGCTGATTCAACAGTTAAAACACAGAGGAGAATATTTTGTTACTGGTCATGAAAAATTAACACTTGATACAGAAATTCTCCACACTATTAACACAAGAGTTTTATCATCACTACACAATGATCATATTTTAAATCATCACTATTTATCTGAAATTCTAAAAAAAGTCTCTAAGTTAAAATTACTCAAATCATCAAACTTTGATCTCAATCATTCTATTAAATTATCCCCTTTTCATAGTCTAGTTTATTTAGAACTTTATGATATAGATATAGAATGTTTGATAGGTTTGAATTATGAAAAAATTGAAGTTCTTATTATACATGGCTCATTAAAATCCTTAGCCGTGTTGTTAAATAGAAAATGGGATAACCTAAAATATTTAGCACTTAGGGGCAGCCATCTTGAAGCTTTAGATAGGTCAATATTACTAGCACCGTATCTTACATACTTAGAAGCGCCTAGAAACTTACTAACTGAAGTTGAAAATATTGAAAAACTAGAATGTTTAGACATTTTAAATTTAAGCATTAACAGACTGACTCAAGTACCGATATTAAGTGATTATGGAGCTAGAAATTTAACTGTGTTAATATTGAGTTATAATTGCATAAATAATTTAACAGGTAACTATATGTAAATTTAAATTTAAATTATTTTTATTTTTACTATTTATAAGTTATTAGTTAAAACGTAGATTTAAAAAAAACACAAAATTGTGGATCAAAGTTGCACTTTATGTTTTCACCTATACTTCATATAGTTTTATTATATTTTTTTTCTTTTTCTGTACACTTGTAATACTTTATACTTATACTTTTATAATACTATAATGTATTTGAATAAAGTTTTGAAATGTTAAGATTATACAAACCACATAATTTGAGTATGATATAAGCTTTTAATTTGTGAGTTTTAATTATAGTAGTATTAGTAGTACAAGGTGTGATCTACTCATCTACCAGTTTTATAATGATTTTTTTTTATATTTTCTAATATGTGATATTGTGATCACAGTCTCCTAGTGTACCTATTTATGATGCATTTAAAGAATGTAAAAAAAATTTCTTGTACTGGAAGTATCAGCTTCTGAGTTTTGTATTATTGTATATAATTTTATTGTTTGCTATTTGGAGCTTTACAATTATGTAATATATTTTTTTCCTTGTAGAGAAAAAAATATCAAAAACGTGCTATGGTTTTTTCTAACAGATTTTGTGTAACGCTTTATTTATTGCCATAGAAATGCAATTCAACAATAAAAACTTATTTTAAGCTTATCTTAACATATAATATTTTCTATACTGTATTTCACCAGAGATTGAAACTGAATTTTTTTTCTTTTATACATTTTTGTTTATCTTAAGGGCGTCAGAGCCGGTGTGTTTTTTAGTACAAAAACATGTCTTACAGGAAAAAATTTCACCCCTTACAGGATAGTCGGATTTTATTAATTTTTATTTTATTTAAAATAAGAGAATATTTTGGAGGTCGGATCAAAGCTCAATTTTCAAAATTATAATTATAGAGGCTAAAATATGTATTTGAATAATGCACAATATTTGTTCTTTCTCAAACATATTTTTCTATCACTAAAAGTAAAATGAAAATTCACTCTTTGATCCCACCTGAACAATGTTTTCTTCTTTTAGATAAAAAAAAAAATAATGAAATCCGACTATTCTAGGACGTCAGTGTTTTTCCTGTGAAGTCATTTTTGTTGATACACTACACCGTATCGAGCCCCCCCCCCTTAAATATATATCCAGCTGTAGATTTAGTGGAAAAGTATTATAATTAAGGTAGTAACTAAAATATAAAATATAATTTTCAAATTGTATACAATTTCGGAAAATTGGAATAACCTGTACCAACACCCTTGATATTTTTTTTATGTATTTAAAACAAATAGACATTTGTATTTCTTATTATTTAATTTACTTTTATTCATTCTTAGGTTTATCAAAATTGACAAATTTAAAAGTATTAGATTTGTCAAATAACATGATTGTGCATCATGAATCAATATCAGCAGTGGGTGATATGGCTTTTTTAAAATATTTAAATTTAAATTATAATCCTGTAACTTATATAAGGAACCATAGAGAAATAACTTGCGGATATCTCCATGAAAATGCAGCTGTTGAACTTGTAAGTAATTAAAAAATATGATTATAAATTGAAATGTCTGTTTTTATATTTTTTAACTACCCTCTATTACAGTTTGAACTTGACAATCGGTTACTTTCAAAATCAGAAAAACAATTTGTTGGTCAGTCTTCCAGATCATTAGATCTGTCATTTTTACATTATCAACAGCCTCCTAGTAAATTATTAATTTATAAAAATTATATTATTAGTTAATAAATTTAATTCTAACTTTATTATAACATCATTCATTTGCAAATTTTATAGCAAGTGTTAAAGCCAAAAAAATAAGGTCTCCCGTTATTGAAGACCATGAATGGGAAAAAAGTTGCATTATTCAAACTCCTGTGCTACCAACCACATTAAACAAAGGTTCCTTAAATGTTAAAATATATTCTGTATATAGTCATATTTATTTGTTATATATTTTTAGAAATTCTAAAGTCAGAACATTTGTCTACCAAAAAAAAAATTGAAAATGTACGGGAAATGTTTGGAGAAGATAACTGGTTACATAGTCATGCTGGAAGTTATGTTCAAGATATTTTGGGTATCAAACAGCAGTCAGGAAATGAATCCTTTTCCAATGAAGTTCCTGTACTAATTTTATTTTTAAATGTTGTATATCATATAAATAATACTATTAGGTTATTTCTTTATTTTATTGTAGGAAGAACAAATTATTGAAGACAGTAATTCAGAATCTAATGATCTTACTGATCAAAAGGAGGGTATTATATTATGTAATGAATCTAAATTGGAAATGGATATAGAACCTGAAATAGTTGATCAAATATTAAATGTTGACTCAAATCTAGAATGTTACACCTTAAACAAAAACGATGAACCTTTAAAATTATCAGGTCAGCTATTATTGAAATTGGTTAAACTAAGTAACATGTTAATTATTATATTATTATACATTAGTAGTTAAATTTGTATAGTTATTTTTCTCATAAAAAAGTAACTTAGCATACCCGCCCATAATGGTAGCATAAATACGCCACTGAACCATTTCAAAAAAAAAAAAAAATGTATCTTGTCCAAAAACATGTTCATGTCAAAAGTTTTCATTTTTTTAAACTGATATTTCTTATACATGATAATATGTAAATATACACATTTTTATTGATAATTTAAATTTTTGATTTTTTATTTAACTGATATCTTTATGATCAGTTTGTAAGACGTAAGTACTAAATTATATTTTGTTTTTTTTTAGAAAATTATTGGAGAGCTCAAAATATTGATATAAAAACAAGCGAATATTCCAATATTTTATTATGTTTAACTGAAAGGTCAGTTATAAAATATTTTAATTAAATAATAGTTTTTTTTATTATTTATCATTTGATTATTATCATATTATTATAATATTAACAACTAACTTGGTTTCCATAAGCATGTAATATAATATACCTATAGTATAATGTATAAAAACATAATTATTATTTCCATTGATTATAAATACTATAGATTGCTCACACTGTTATGAAGCACTGTCGTTGACAACAGCACTTCATAATGACCACATCCATTTTTCATCAATTTTTCACACCGCGTAAATACAGACCTGTAAGCGATCTATAGTATTTATAATCAATGTTATTACTTAATATTAAAAAAATAATTTATATAATTGGTTTATCTCCCAGTATGCGGTCTACTATAATAATAATATACGTTTTTAGTATGTGGACTACAGATCAACAATAAATATTTTAATAAATTCCGTGATTTTACGTAAAACTACTAATTATAGTCTGCTTATCTACTGTAACAACCGTAACAACATCTTACCGTACCAACCTTACCAACCACAGTTCATAACCCCCATAATAACTAAAGGCCTTAGTTGCCGTTGTAGAATTTATAAATGTGATGATTAATTGAAAATCCATCATTTCTAAAAACGGAAAAAATAATGTTCAACTGTGCGAAACTTATCTCAACGGCACCTTAGACTAAACCCTAATATTGATTTTTATAACATTAACTAAAAGATAAAAAAAAAAATGTATTAAGTGGTTTAAAAATTAAAATAATAAAAAATATAATATGATAACCATAATTATACCTATAGGAGATAGCTATAATAGAACACAAAACATTGGCAGACTGCATACTATACTCATATTTAGTTAAGTAATAATTTTATTTTGTATTTCTATACATTTACAATCTCTTACGTAGAGAATAATAAATTAATATTATAAAACTAAAAAACTAAAAAAAAAAAATGTTTTTAACAATAACTTATTAATTTGGTATCTATAGAGAATTAAAAGAAAGAAATTCTGTTGATGGTAATTTGATTGCTACCTGGAGCCGTGATTCCATTGAAAGTTGTGTCAAAATTGGCTTTGATCCCATTAAATTACAATTAAACTTTATGACTATACGAAAAAACCTAAATCAAAGAGTATATACAATGAGTGATGATGATGCAAAAGTAAGCTAAATTATTAAATAATTTTTGATAGTAGACTTTCAAATTATGTGTACTTAATAATAATTCTTTATATTTACTAGTTTTCAGTTTTTGTGAAGTAGATAGCATAATAATATTATGTCTTGTATTTTTTGTTTCATACTCGTTTTACTTATTTTTATTAATTTTACAAATCTGTAGCATATAATGTACAATAAGCAAATATAATATAAGAAAAATAATTTACCTGTAGGCAGGCTGTCTTGTGACAGAACCCTCAAGAAGTGGCGTTATAGTTAGGGATTTAAAAAATCCCTACACCAGTATATTTTTAACTGACGGTGGGGGGGGGGGAGTCTAAAATGTTTGCTTCACTTTGAATGGCTCTAAGGTATAGGGTTGGTATGAGTGGCTAGTTTGGTGTGGACTTTGTTATAGTGGTTAAATTCAGCTGTGTTGATGGTTTCAATGTTAAGGTCGTTGTATAATGCTGAGTGAGTTGTTGGATACATACCAAGTGGTAGAGGTTAGTAAACAGAAGATAATAGATTGAAATTCCTGAATTGTTTTTGTTTATGATGGTTTGGCACAACCTCATATCTGTACCATAAGCCCAAAAGGGCCTTAATATTGATTTGTAAATAGTTATTTTATTATGGAGGGAAAGATTTGATTTAAGGATAGGGTAGAGGAAGTGTAGTCTACTGTTAAGTTTTTTTCTTGTTGATTTTAAATGAGGACCCCAGGTGAGGCGTTTATGTAAAATTAAATATTTGGGTTTCAACTGGAATTTCTGTTCCCCAATGTGAAGGACAGTTGAGATTTCTCTATAGAAGGTGGAAGAATTTTTCGTCTGTATTTTTTATTTTCCAATTAGCTGCCCTTTTTTCTATTTCTATGGTTGATGGTTATAGGATGCAATAATGTTATCACTATGTTCAATTAATATTGCTATGTTATCTGTGTATACTATGAGGCGATTTGAATTTTATTTCACATTCAGTATGTCTGAGGTGAATATGTTGAAAAGGTCTGGAGATAGATCTCTTCTTTAGGGGACTCCTGTTTGAATTTTGAAATAGGGAGAGAATGTTTACCTTGTCTAATGACAAGATTGAATGTTTGGATCCAAGCCAAATTATGAATTGGGAATGATGTTTTGGGCTTAATCAAAATTGGTTTTGCTAACACTGGTAATAAACTAGTGTGAGAAGTGATATTGGTTGAGTTCCGTCTACCTCCTTTTATTTAAAAGTAAAATCTTTTTCTTAAAAACCTTATTAAATTTATTAAAACTTTTGCATTAAGTATATAATTAATTTTGATAATCAATTTAACATTTATTTCTACAATCCATTACTCAAAATCATGATTATCTTGAGATGGGTTCTTGTTAAAGTTAAATTATAATATCATGCAGAGGCGTTCTCAGGATATTTCAATGGAGGGGGATGAAAAAAATGGTTTCAAAATAAGCCGTAAGGGTTTTGCCTCACAACTCCCATATTATAATAATGAATATTATAAAAGCGGGTAAGTGGATGTCACTCGGCTGTACAGTAAATTACAATAGCTGGTCACTGTATAATGGATTGTATTAAATTTGAATTCAATGATATCATACCTATCATTGTATACGAAAAACGATTCTGAGCGGAGACGGTTTGTCAGTCTGAATATTTTATATTGTTATTATATTTTATTATAGCCTGTAAGTTGAATTAATATTATAAGTTACGATAAAATAACTAAAATCATTATTTTTATTTTATTTGTTTCTACGGTGATAAACAAAGTGTTTGAAATTGAAATCACATTTTTAGCGGTTTTTGAAATTTGTCGGTGAAATTGTAATGTGTCATTAAATAAATATTGAGAAAATTGAAAAATTACCTCTCTAAAGTACCATCTTGATAAAATTTGCTAAAAGAAAAGATATACTATAATATGTTAAAAGCGAAGAACTCCTTCTGGTAGAAATTTTGTATGCAGGATAAAATAAAAATAAATATAAACAATATTGAAAAACCAATAGATCCCTCACTCCGCTCAGAATCTAATAATGTTGATAGTAATATAGTTGATAATATCAAATAATCAATACAAGTCATATTTATTGTTCTTTTTATTTAAACTATAAAAGAATGTTATGAATCAGTTTTTAAATTTTAATAGAGCATTGTTGGTAAAGATTAAAAAGTAAATACTTAAGTAACATTTTTTTTTTTCGTGTTATAAATATAATAATGTATAATACTATAATTTATTCGCATTTTCGTTTTTGATTTCGTAATTAATTTTTCTTCTGTTTTTGGGATTTTTTGTTATCGTTTTTTGTTTTTGTTTTTTTTCCGTTTACTAACGTTTTTTAAAAACGTTTTCCATCCCTGGTTTAAATTATTTATTTTATTTTATCACTGTGGTGTTATCATTGTGTATCTTACCTTTACATTTTTTCTGACTCTGGGAATGGGTAAAGTTGACGGAGTGATTGTTTACAAAAATACAGTACAAATCAATTGTAAAGCGAATTACCTGTTATATGTTATAATTATCAGTGATAAATAATAATACTGTTTATGGCTGGTGGAATCAATAATCACGATAAAGAAAAATAGCAAAAAAAAAATAAAATAATAACTACCAAGTCAATATTGAAAACACAAACACATATCAAAAGTAGACAAAACGTGTATTACTAATATGTAAAAAAATAAAGAACCTTGGGGGGGGATCTATCCCCCATATCCCCCCCGTGAGAACGCCCATGATATCATGTAATATATTTTATACTTTGTGATCTATTTATTTATTTATTTATATTTTCAGGAATTTTCAAATATTATTAGTACGCAGTTAGAATCAAGAACATTAAGTGAAATGAACCAATTAGTATTTAAATGTATAAAATGTGCAACAATATTTTGTCAAGAAAATAATCGAAATGTTCTTAGTAAGTACAATCAATTTAAAGAAGAAAAAAAGGGGGGCAAGTGGGTGTCACTCTGCTGTACAGTAGGTCAGAAGTGGGTCACTGTAATGGATGGTGTTAAATTTGAATTCATTGATATAATATCATTGTATATGTATAAGAAAAACGATTCTGAGCTAAGATGGTTAGTCAGCCTATGATATTACTATGTATATTTGACGATATTATTGTGAATAAAATAATTTTTAAATAATCTATTTACGTAGAGTCTTGTTTTAAATTTTCAATCCTTGGCAATAAAAGTTTTATACATTTTAATAACATTTTATACATTTTTAACTACAAAATAATTATTACATTTTAAATTTGATAAATTAGGTCAAAAATCAAAATTTAAATACTCATAAAAAATAATTGTGACCATGTATTTTCAATATTTTTAACCTGGTATTGTAACAATATATCAGGAGTCTTGTATTAAATTTTCACGCATTTCCTCCCTAAAAAAAACAATTTTATGATATTTATAGAAAAAAAATTTGAAATTGTCCGTAAACAGCTTAAAACAAGTCAAAATATTTTGAAAAGGTTATCAAATATAGGAATTGATAAAATAAACATGTTATATAAATCTCAAATATCTTAATTCGTTTTTGAATTACAACAAAATAAGAAAATCGTTACATGAAAAATCGAGTGAATATCCAATGTTGTAAAAATTGGAACTTCAAACGCTCATAAAAATGTAATTTGACTTTCCAGTATTTAAATGTCCAATTCTGTCAAAATGTATATCTTTATAACTTCATAGCTCATGTCAGAATTTAAAAATATAGCCATAATATGTTATGGTTCCTAGAAATTAAAGAAGGTTGAACTTAGCCTACCATAAAGTATAATCTATATATTTAGTTCTGAAAATACAGTTGAATGAAATGTAGTAATTAAATTTATTTTCCATAGTCATTAAAAAATCTTAACCACCTTCTACGGTTCTACTAGCAAACAGTTAAGAAAATAGTAAATATGTTTTTAAATCATATTACCAAAATAATTCACCTTTGAATTATGCACAATTATACTAATTATATTATCATTCTGTCATATAATGTTTCCTACAAATAAAATAAATAGCCAAAATATATTTTTAAAGAAAATAATACTAACCAAAAAAAAGAAAAAAGTTTATAACATAAGGCAAAATATTTAATATTTGAAGGAAAATAGTTGCTCATTTTTGGAGGAAAATGGACCCACCCCATTTAATAACAGTTAAAATAATAGTTCACCCAAATTATTCACCAAAAATAATGTGATTGTATTATTTATTACTGTTGGTTGTAAAATCAACTAAATCCTAAAGTTTAAGATTGTAAATATCTTTATAAATAAATAAAAAAAAACTGACTATTATATTATAAAAATGAAGTATTTGAGGTGATGTGTAAGTTGTACTCCTATAAATATTTATTTTAATAATTTAAAAAAAATTTCCAGAAGAAAAAAGAAAAAACTGTTGTCCTAGTTGTGACAGTTATATCATAGTACAAATAGAAGAAGAATTTCTTCCATCTACTTCTAATAACCTAATGCAACCCTCAGAAATAGATGAGCAACAATTTGTTGAAGATAACTCCAATAATTCAACACCTATTAATTCAAGATGTAGTAAGATAAAAAATATAGTTATATATAATATGTATTTAATTACATTATCAAATTTTAAACATTTTAAGGCTCAGAAGAACCGGAACAACGAATATTTTCTAGTAATGATAGTGATATAGAAGTCATAAGTAATCCTAGTGAGAAATCTGTGGAAATTCTAGAAGTAATATCAAGGTATGCCTGTCCTATATGAATGTTACATTTTTTAAGGGTTTGAGACCTTAACTGTTAGGAATGGAGGTCGAATAAATAAAATCTTCACCACAATTCAACAGTTCAAAAAAAAAATATCTCATAAGCCATAGCTATAAATAGTGTAACTTTATGGTGAACTTTTCTTTTTGATAGAGGTAGAAAAACATGTTGGAAACTTCTATTAAACTTGCTAATGCTATCTATGAAAAGAAAAAATTATCATGGTTATAAATAACTCAAAAAGAGTCAAAATTGTTTGAAGATTTTACCCTGTATGGAAAATTATTATTTTAGAATTTGCTGAAAATTTCTAGTACCTAGGATTATTTATTTTTGAATTACAACAAAATATTAAAAATTGATTAATGGGGAAATTGGATAATTTATTGCTGAATATCAAGTATCGTAAAAATTAAAAGTTCAAACGCTCCTAAAAAATGAATGTTCCTTTTCAGCAAACTTTTTTTTGTTTGTTATAAGTAAAAAAACCTATGTGAAATCTTCTGTTAACATTTTTAATCTTAGTTATGTAAAGAAAAACTTTTATGAATTTCCACCATTAACATTTTGGAAATTTTGATGAATTTTATCAAAATTTGAACTTTAAATTCATATAAAAAATAACTGAGCCTATGTATCTTATATATTTTTTAACTTACATTTATGAAACTTATAAGGAACTTTTCATTAAGTTTTCAAGCAATTTTACTAAGTGAAAAAGTGTTTTGCAAGTATAATTTAAAAACAAATTTACAAAATTGTAAATATTTCTCAAAGCTATAATTAGCTCAAAAGAAATCAAAATATTTTGAAAATGTCACCAAATATGGATAATGCTAATATTAATATTTGGTGTGAATTTTAAGTGTCTACTGTTATTACTTATTAGTTTTTGAGGTAGTTATACCAAAAAAATAAATAATTTTTTTTAAAAATTGATTATGCATAAAAATTACCACTTTTTTAGGGTTCCGTACGGTAAAACGGAAGCCTATTAGTAAGGCTCCGCTGTCTGTCTATCTGTCTGTCACTTGGCTGTATCTCATGAACCATGAATGTTAGAAAGTTGAAATTTTCACAGATTATGTATTTCCGTGGATGCTATAACAATAAATACTAAAAATCCTTTTTTTTTTTTGAGTTAATCGAGGGACGGAAGAGGAACTGCGTTAGCATTACTCCTCCTCAATACTAAAAATCCTAGAATATATAATATAAGCAGTGTTGCCAACATAGCTGATGATGGTACGGAACCCTCCGTGTGTGAATCGAACTCCCACTTGGCCGGTTTTTTGTTATTCCTGACATTTTATTAAACTAACTTTCAATTTTGATCTCTCAAAAGAACCAAATAGATTCAATTTTTTATCATAAAAGATATTGATGTCGAAAATTGGAGCATTTTTACTACCTCAGATGATGATGACAGACAGACAAAAAAACAAAAATTTATTCATTACATTTTTTTACATTTTAATTTTTTTATTCATTACTTTAATTAAGTACTTTCTGTTAGTGAGATAAACTGTTCAATATTTAGTTTAAACTTGGTAATGATCCTGCCATCCCAGATTTCGCATATTTAATAATTGTTTTACTTGTATTTTTTTTAAATTTAAATTGTATTTGTATTATAGTACAGAAAACAAACCAGAAAAATCTCAGTTGACTATTGATGTTCGGACTGCATTAACTGAAAGTAGCTCTTCAGGTTAGTTTTTCAATCATCACCTTAGAAATTAAAACATTAATATTTTTACTCTGTTGAGAATAAGATAATGACGAAAATCACTACTTCCATTGATTAGAACTGTACTCTGTTCAAAATAAGAATGCATATGCGGCTGACTTTATACAGGGCATGGCCTTACTACACTGCATATAGATTGGTGACCAACTTGTGTTACCTATATGCAGCCGCCAAATCCGTTTCTTATTTTAAACAAAGTTTTAATATATTAAGTAGAGCATTACTGCATGTTGGTATTCCAGCTCATGCGTCGAGTTCAGTGAGTTTTATTCTCCTTAGTTTCCGTCCTTTTATTTATTCTCTCCGTAATGTGTATAATATATAAATTATGTGTTATAACTTTATAAGTAGTATGGAGTTCAGTGGCGTATCTACGTTTGATATAGTGGTCATACCCCCCCTCCCCCTTTCTCCCAGAAACAACATTTTTGTAAACAATACAACTGTATATATTATAATAATATGAATATATGTGTATACTAAAACAGTCTATTAAAATCTTTTATATCCCCCCCCCCCCTGTGAAAAATCCTATGATACGCTACTGATGGAGTTGCTCAATTTTGTCCATAACGCAAATATAATAAATGTAGTGTACAGTGCACTTATGTGTCAATTTTGGTCAGTCTTATTTCAAATATAGTATAAATTTGGCATGGTGAATTGGTGAGTATTGTCATCAATAAACATTGAACAATTGTGTATAATTTTTTGTTTAATTAAATTAAATTTTTACATTTCTACTACATATACATAATTTTAGTATGTCAAAGTTGATCTTGTTTTGTTACTTATGCCTTGTAGTTAGTTTTAAATATAATTTAAAATTCCTTCATTTATTATAAGTATATTTTACAAATATTTTGTTTGGATATCTATAAAATATGAAATTTAATTCAAGTTAATTAATAATTATATATTTCTAATAGTTGAGTTATTTTATGATAAAATAGTACAAATCTTAATAAAATAACTGACATTAACCAATTCCTTTTTTAACGGCTCAAAAGTGTATCTTTTACATTTTCATTTATTACGGTTTTTGTTGCATTTTAATTGAATTAATATTAAAATTAATATTAGGATCAATGACAGACAGTGTGTGTACCGCTTATGAAAGTCGAAAGCAGCACAACAACAGTTCATCAACAATAAAAGGTACTCTATTAATAACTAAAATATATGATATACTTGTCTAATGAATACATTACAAATATGTATATTGTTTGCATAATAAAAACAGGAAGTAACATCGATTCTAGGATTCCATCGGTAGTGGATATGCCCATTAAGTTCTCTTATGGTGATTTTGGTATCATTGACCCAAGGTTAAATCATATGTTCAAAATAAATTTTCGGGGATGAAGAAGAATTTGTACTTGTTTTTTCGAGTATGTTATATTGATTCAGTTTGGTTAAAATTTTTATTAAAATGAAATATACAATTTTTTTGACTTACAGTGGAATTGTATAATGACGAGCCCCGATCACCCGACTTGATGGGTGGGTGATCATGCCAACAAATCATTATTGTATTTAAATTCATTGGCCAACCAGATGAACTGTAAGTAGTTGAAACATTACTTATATGTTAGTCTTATGCATCATTAAATTATAATCTTGTACAGCTACAAAAAGTGTCTAGACAATCGTTTGAGTCTTGTAAAATCCATAGCTACTCTTCCTTGGAATGTTGGTCTAGCCATATGTGTCAGTCAACCAGAACGAGACATCAAATATTCATTGTTCTCTATGTGGCCACATATCACCATACGATTAATTGCATTCTTAGAAAGTATGTGATTATTAAATGTTGACATCAATATTCTATTCCACTGTTCACCACTGTTTCAGGAATAAAACCATTTGAACGACGAGATGTATTAGTTTCATCTCCAAATACTAATACTTATCTATATGTCAACAATATTCTTTACAAAAATGAATTGCACTTACCAATTATTCACGTGGTATTTTGTGAGTGTGCGACAATCATCACAGATAATGGTAATTAATGGATATAATATTATTTTACTTTAAATAAAATCTTATATGGTGAGCAACACTTATTGCCTAAGCTAAAATACAAGTATATTTATAGTAGAAATATAATGGATGTATATAATGTTTATTTTAGGACTCGTAGAAATTATTGACTTACCTGGTATAGTGATTACCGAATATGAACTGGTAGTATTAGGGTGTGAATGTGCGTGGCTGATACCTTACGATGAACATTTCACCACATTAGCTCATGGTCAACAAATTAGTACATTCAATCGCATTGTGAGTTATATAAATTTAAAATTACACATTTACTAAAACAAAATGTAAAATTAACTCATATTGATTTTTTGTCTACAGGATAAAAACGAAGAGACACTTGGTTTACACTTTAATGGCAACGTATCATGGTTATTAATAGTAAATCATATTGAAGCCGAACACATGATGGATGAAACAATAAGGATATTAACTAACGCTAAACAAAAATTGTGTTCTGCCATGCAAATGGCCAATTTAAATTGCTCAACTTAGTGAATCAAATGATTCAATAAATCTGTTACAGCTCAACATATCTCAGAAGTCAAAAACGTGTGCAATTCAAATATATTATTTTTAAATGAGAATATTTTTTTTATTAATAAACTCTTATTGACTTCAACATTATTCTTTTTCATGTGTTCATGTGGTTAATTGTTATGAATGCATACCAATAGAACGTAATGTATGACCATTTTATTCATTGTTATTTGTTATTATTTCTGCATAATATTTTGTTTACAAAAAATATAAATTATTTGTGAAAAAAAGTAATTGTATCTAATATTCAATAATAAAAAAATATCTGCTTTATATTGTGTGTTGATTTACATATTTTATTAATAATCTAAATTTGTAATTGAAAATTTTTTTAGATAACTAATGTAATAAAATTATTTATCTTGAAAATCCTGTCAATTTTATTTTTTATTATTAAAATGAATGGCTTTGACTGCTAAGGTCATTAGCCTACAGTTTTACAATGCTTATATCATCAATTTTTTTTGATCGTAAAAGTATAAAACTTTTAATCAAATAATTTTTTTTTTTAATTTGAAACCTCCTACTTACCCACTCAAATTTGAAACAATTATATATAATGTATAAGCGTATTTAGAAGGGCTAATATTATATTTGGGTAGGTGCCTAGTCAGGGTAAACTCATTGTATTTCTATTTTCCTCCAATCTAAAAATAGAACTAATATAATTTTAACAGCTATACAGGCTAAAGGCCCAAAACCAACCATTTTGTTTGGCCTTTTAAACAAAAGGTTTATACAATAAACTATACTTTAACATATTAATTAAACACGACAAATGATAACGTTCTGTAAAGAGGGGATGCTCAGTATAAAATATTGAAATTTTCATTGCATTACGCATTACACAAAGAGGCACAAAGATTGAATAAATTATTTGTAAAGGAAAACGGAATAAATAATTTTTATAACGCATTACTAAAAGCTTGTAAACTATAATATAATATACTACCTAAGATATATAAACTATAATAGTTATCATAATCATCAGTATTATATAAATAACATAGCTAACTAAATAAATAAAAACACAAAAAATTATGTTCAGATAATTTAATACTTTTTTTTTATTTTATCAATCTTTTTTCTTTTTCTTTGAACACAAAACTTGTACCCTAAGAGTTATTATAATATAATAATGTAAATATGATTCTTGTGTCACTAAATCAATAAATAAAATTGGAAATTTATGAATCAAATAATAAAATAATGGTGGACTTAATAATTTTTTAAGTACAATAATTACAGCATATTACATATTAATATAATCGTTATATAGCTTCACTTTGCAATACATGTCAGGTCACTTAATACATAGTTGACATGTGCAATCAGCAATTTTTTAACAAGATTTGTATCTACAAAATATAGTTGATATACTTATAGACTTTTTTTTACAATATTACATAAATCGAACAATTGATTTTAATACATTTTAAGAATGTCATTCTAATTTTTACATAATTTTTATCTTATTGCTTCATAGAAGTTTTATTTTAGATCACAGGTTTTGACATACTTTTATTTTTAATATTACAAACCAAATCAGAAAAATGATAAAATATCAATAATAATAATAATAGTAATAATTATAATAAAGCATATTTTACAATCTCGTGGTCTTGTATACACATTACTTTTATTAATTGTGTACACGGTTAAATATTCATTCAAATAAAAAAAAAGCTATCAACAATTTATAACAACGTTGATGTAAATTATATGTTTGAAATAAATAATATATTAGTTTACACATTAAAAAAAAAGGTAATATTTAACAAATATTTTATGAGTATTATTAATACCAATACCATTTATAATTAAACATCAATCCAAACACAGTGCTCTTTGAAAAAATGTTTTCATTAACACATTAAAAATGAATAGTTAACATAACTATTATACTTTCATAAATTGAATAAAATTCATGTAACTGAAAGCCTTTTTAAAATTGGATTTCTTAGGTATCTCTATATATGTTTGAAACATCAGTTTAATGATCATACTTATATATTATAATATAATGACAATTAAAATGATCTCAATAATATATTATATTTCTAATCAGTGAACAATATTATGAACTCAAATTATTGCTGATTTTAGTAGTGATTGATGAACAACTGTCCAATACTATCTATAGACTATACTTTATCTAATATATATATAATTTTAAACGTTATCAAATATTCAACAATTAACTCAGACAACTCTGAAAAAATTCAGAAAATAATGTAGTCTAATCGAATTACTAAAATAAATTGTTTACAAATCTGTGCTCGTAATATATATAGTAAAGAAATTTAAGAAGTAAAACAATACTTATAATATGTACCTAATTAGTAATTATAATATTTAGAAACTATGTATTACATATATTGACGTATTATCGTCACGTAAAATAATATTATCTTCTAGTATAATATTTTTTTTTTTTCTATAATATATATGTACGGCTATAAAATATTTATGTATATAATACATTTTTTTTTTCATTTTAATAATAATCTTACAGCGTTAGACAATATTATATTGAATTAATGATAATATGGTAAATTATAGAAATTAATAAATAAAAATTATCATACACACAAATGTAAGGCCTAGCCACTGCATTACCAGTATTGAGTAGAGTAAAAATGTAATGGTGTTACACCTTACATTTAAAAATATAACTACATACATTTTAAATATTATTGTTAATTTAAATAAATTAAAGAGAACCTATAATACGACTTATATTTTAAAAGGTGTACATACAATATAGAACTGCTCAAAAAGCTGGTCATTTTTTATCAGGTACAAATAATAATTATTTGGTTTTTATGTATAGAGGGAAATACTTTGATAAAATATCTGTATACTGGCCAAATATTACAGTTTTTATTGCTTGGTAACTTAAACAGCAATGAATGTTTAACTTAAATAACATATTTATGATATTAGATAAATTAAATACAACTAGCATGTCTTACTTTATTCTAAATAATTTATTTCTTATTTCTCTTCAATTATAAACACTTACCAATACTATTATAATATTTTAAAATATTACTATCTGGTTTATGATTGTGAAATATTTAAATCAAAATAATTTTTTATTATTTAATATATTTTTAATTTAATTTAAATACAGTAGCAATATAATAGCCAAGTGTTAGCTAAAAGTTATAAGCGCTTATATTGAGAGAAAATAAATTTGTTTTAAAATTGGTAATCCCTAATTAATCAGTTACTAAAAATTATAAATAATGCTGTTACTAATTTTATAAACTGGATATAGTAATTATATAATTATAGACACGCTTTTTTTTTAGTTTTCATTTTTATACTTTTCTATTTTGTTAACATTTTTTACTTTTTTTGTATCTTTTGTTATTTTTTCCCTTGACCCAATGTAAGCTAAAATAATATTATTTCAACCTATTATAATTTTACTAACTGATTATATTAGAAGCCAGTATAATTGATTTTTTTTATTACTATTTAGAGTTAACAGCATTTACGATTGTTGTTAGCACCCGACGGTCGCATGTTTTTGTCGGCCCTCCTCAGTCTTTTGTTACTTGCACTCAACATCATATTTACACGATTGATATGAGTCAGCTGGTTGCGACTTAAAATACGAGTTTCCCTGTGTGCTTGCAGCTGTAAATAAAATGTTTAAGTCAATTAGTACATTTTATAAGAAATAATATGCTGCTGTTAATAAATTTTGTATAAGGTCATAGAATTATTTCTTAATTATTTAGCATTGATTTGAAATTTGAAGTTAAATGGTAATAATATCATAGCTGATCTTACCTTCTGTGCTTTATTGGTGCCAGCAATCATGCCAGCTCTTTTTAAGCCAACTCGTGCTTGTAAGCATTTCTTCAGGTCGAGACACCAAAGAATTGAGGGCAATGGAAGTCGTCAATGGTATGATGATGTTCTCTTTTTTTACAGGAGACTTTTGGTCCCTCTTTTCAATTACATCACATTTTGGTCTTACCACTGAGGTTTGGGTAATCGGGTTGAGATTTCTATTATCTCATGTTACTTCTTTAACAATAGATTTTTGTTGTACCTTCTTTTTCTTTTTTTCTTCCGTATCTAAAACAGACACAGGTTTTTGTGCTTCAACGCAAATTGTCGAATTACTGTTCGACTTTGGTTGCTTTTCAACAACTGGTTTTACAGCATTTCTTTTTGGTGTTTTACAGCTTTTTGGCACATCAGATTGTATGATGCTAAAGGAACTCAACCTGACCAACCGTTCTTGGGCACGGATTTTAGGAACAATTATTTCTTTTGGCATCTTTTGCGCCTCATTTAATGAAAAATGAGGCAATGGGCATGGTGGTTTGCGACCTTTTTTCATGACTTTTTTAGGAGTAAAGACTTTCACAACTGTCTGTGTTTCTTCTTCCATAGGCAAAACTGCTTGAGGTGACTCAACAACTTCGACTTTGGATTCAATTTTAACGTGTTTTATTTCAGACATGTCATTTTTTGGTTGTCTTCGTTTTAATGATGCAGCTACTTCTTTATAGCTACGAATAGCTGGTGGAGAGCATACTTTGGCCTTAGCAATTGGAGCCAATACTGGAAACATTTCCGTTTGAGAACGTTCGACTTTTTTAATCTCAACAACGGGAGATGACAAAACACTTGGTACATTGCCCAAAATAGTTTCAGGTGCAATTTTGAATTCATCAAGGGGCACAGATTTTTTCAGTGTCTTTTTCTTGGGATGTTTAGGTAATTTTTCTTTGCATTTCACGGCTTCAAAGACTATTGGCGTATCGTCATCAAACGACTCGCTATTACTCGCAATTGAGGCCAGAGTTCTTCTCTCGGGCATTATTGAACTCACAGTGGGGCTGTGATATACAGACATGCTTGGATGTTCAATGAGAAGATTCTCCAAAGGTGTCGTCTCCATGTCTGCTGGACCAACAGACGTGAAGCAAGGAGGAGGAGTAACAAACCAGCCTTCTTCATTTTGACAGGAAGAAGATGATCGACTGTGGCGATCAACAACCGCGCCCACACCCTTCATCATCAGTCTTTGTTAGAATCGGACTCAGATTCACCTCATTACAAATTAAAATAAGTACCTAATCGATAACATAACAAAAGAATGTATTTAGTTTACCTTTTCCAAGGATAACCCAGTCGTCAGATTCGTCAATTTCGATGGGTTCGAAG